TAGGGGCCAAAATTTCCCCACCAAACAACCCTTTGTGTGAAGTGAGGTGAACCTTGAATAATGTTTTCTTGTTTAAGTTTATCTAAATTTAATTTTAATTAGTTCAAGTTCCACCCATTAAAAAAATTTAACAAATTTAAGAAGTTTTTTTTATTATAATAATAAAATAATTATAATATTATGTAACATTATAAATTTATAATTATAATAAATTATTATACGAGTGAATATGATACCATATCATTTTTATTTTTTATGTAAAATATGCACATTATATATTTAATTATTTACATTAATGTTGTAGGGTGTAATTTTTAAATTTATTATTTTTAAATTTTAAATTATATAATAAAAGTAACTTTTTTTTTATTTCTCAATTTGTCTTATTTGTATGTCATGAGAATTCTTTTATATAAAAAAAAAAGTCATTATATATTTAATTATTTACATTAATGTTGTAGGGTGTAATTTTTAAATTTATTATTTTAAAATTTTAAATTATATAATAAAAGTAACTTTTTTTTATTTCTCAATTTGTCTTATTTGTATGTCATGAGAATTCTTTTATATAAAAAAAGTAATTAAGTCATTAGGTAAATTTGTTTTTTTTTATCTTTAATTACATAATAAAAAGTAAATTTTTAACATATTTTATTCATATATTATATTATTCAAATTTAAAATTTTTATTTTTAACCAAAAAAATTAGTATTAAATTATTTCCTAATCACAAATTGATTCCTTTTAAAAAATAAGGGTTCATTGATAATTTAATCTTAAGAATAATTTAATCTTAAGAATAGATTGATTAAGTCTAGAAAGGTCTAAAAGTCAGAACGCATGATGAAGCGTGGCAATCACACACTTGGAATACAAGTGGGATTACAAAAAAGTTTGGAAACATGAACAGAAAATAGTTTTTTTTCTTGCCGACGGAAAAAGATTTCTTTATCACCAAAAAAAATTGCCGTTGCAAATGGCCACGTGGCAAGGCAACCTCTCCACGGCTCCACTTGTCTCCTCCGCTCGTCCTTTGTATTCCCTCTCTCCTTAGTCCTTACACACAATTCCTTGTTTGTTTTCATCCTTGTTCTCCTTTAGACAGAATTCTTCCAGCTCGCTCCTCTTCCTCTACACCCGTGAATTCAATCTCCAAAAAAAATCAGAGTCCCTCTCCTCCTCTCCTCCAATGGGCATTGATAATTAACCGATAATGTTCAAGATTTCATTAACTTCCCTGGTACTCTGTTTTGTCTTTGACTTGGTCGGAATCATCGCCACGATTGAGTTCGATTTTGGCACTTTGACTCTCAGCAACTTGAAGCTCTTGGGTGATGCCCACTTGAATAATCGCAGCGTTAGACTCACTGGGGATTTTCCTGTCCCCAATTCCGGCTCTGGCAGGGTGCTCTACTCGAAACCAGTCAGATTCAGGCTGCCAGGGTCTCACTCCTCTTGTAGCTTCAACACTTTCTTTTCCTTCTATGTGACGAACCTGAATCCCTCCTCCATCGGTGGTGGGCTCGCCTTTGTTATCGCACCAGATGGAGAATCAGTTGGCGCAGCAGGTGGATCCCTCGGGCTCCTCGACGACAATGGACTCTCAAACGGATTTGTGGCGGTGGAGTTTGACACCCTGATGGACGTGCCGTTCGAAGACATTAACGGAAATCATGTGGGTTTGGATCTTAACAGTGTCGTTTCCTCCCAAGTTCTTGATTTGGGTACTTTAGATATCGATCTCAAGAGTGGAAATCTCGTAAATTCCTGGATCGAGTACGATAGTTCTTCTCAGGTCTTCAATATTTCAGTATCGTATTCCAATTTGAAGCCAAAAGAGTCAATGCTATCTTTCAGTCTCGATCTGGGTCAGTACGTAAACGATTTTATGTATGTGGGATTCTCTGGTTCGACTCAGGGGAGCACCGAGATTCACAGTATCGAGTGGTGGAGTTTTAGTTCTGCTTTCGAGTCGAATTCAGGTTCCGGTTCAACAGCGCCGCCTTCACAAACGGCTAGCTCGATGAACACAACAGCTAATTCAGCGAAAGCGCCGCCGTCTTCATTGGCTCCGTCGAATTCTAATTCTATCTCCAGTTCTCAACAGAAGGGCAGTAAGTCATCTTCTTGTCATAACCAGCTCTGTAAGCAGGGTGCAGGGACGGTTGCAGGGGTGGTAACTGCAGGGGCGTTTCTCCTAGCCATATTCGCCGGTGTTCTCATATGGGTGTACTCTAAAAAGGTCAAACATGTGAAAAATTCTGAATCTCTCGCATCGGAGATTATCAAAACGCCGAAGGAATTTAGCTACAAGGAACTGCGAACGGCAACGAAATGCTTCAATGGCAATAGAATCATCGGCAATGGTGCATTCGGGACTGTTTATAAGGGTATATTGCCGGAAAACGGCGACATTGTAGCCGTGAAAAGATGCAGTCACAGTACTCAGGGCCTGAATGAGTTTTTATCGGAATTATCAATAATTGGGACTCTCCGCCATCGGAATCTCGTTAGGTTGCAAGGATGGTGCCATGAGAAAGGGGAAATTTTGTTAGTATACGATCTAATGCCAAATGGGAGTCTTGACAAAGCATTATTCGAAGCCAGAGCACTGTTACCGTGGCCCCATCGCCGGAAAATCCTGTTGGGAGTTGCCTCTGCCCTGACCTACTTGCATCAAGAATGTGAAAATCAGGTCATCCACAGAGACATTAAGACCAGCAACATTATGTTAGATGAAGGGTTCAACGCCCGGTTAGGAGATTTTGGTTTGGCAAGGCAAGTTGAGCACGATAAGTCACCGGATGCCACGGTGGCTGCTGGAACAATGGGCTATTTGGCTCCGGAGTACCTCCTCACTGGACGAGCCTCCGACAAAACAGACGTGTTTAGCTATGGAGCCATGGTTCTAGAGGTGGCTAGCGGAAGGAGACCAATTGAGAAAGATGTAAGTCAAGCAGGGAAAGTTGGGGTGAACAGCAATTTGGTGGAATGGGTGTGGAATTTGCACCGAGAAGGAAGGCTACTAACGGCGGCGGATCCTAGACTTGAGGGTCAATTCGACGAGGCTGAGATGAGGAAGGTGCTGACGGTTGGACTGGCTTGCTCGCACCCTGACCCAATGGCGCGACCCACAATGAGGGGTGTGGTCCAAATGCTGGTGGGTGAAGCTGAGGTCCCAATCGTTCCAAGAACCAAGCCTTCAATGAGCTTCAACACATCCCACTTGCTCTTGAGCCTGCAGGACAGTGTGTCGGATTGCAATGGCATGATCACCCTCTCCACCTCATCATCATCGGAAAATAGCGACATTGGCCCTAATCTAGTCTGATAAAATCGGACCGTCTCAATGCCGGCCAATCAGATCCGCTCCCACTCTCCTTATTTATTGACTTTTTATATATATCATTGATTTGTTTATGTATATGCGTAACACAATAACATATTGCTTTAGGCAACATCTTTGAGTTAATTATCACTATCAATTAGAAGGATAAAGAGTTTGTTGGGAGACATGGGAAAATTTGGTGGGAGCGTCATTTTCTTGTGGTCGCGTTGGATGGGACTCCGTTCGTGCAAAGGTGGGTGGTTGCTTTCACAAGCAAACTCTATTTGTCAAAAATCATACACAAGAGGTAGAGTAGAGGCTTGGTAAAGCATAGGAGAAGAACAGCTGCATTTATTACTTTAACTATCTTTTGGAGACTTCCTTGAAGTTCTTCAATGGACGTGGTTAGTTAGGTACCTTAGGGTGATAAATCAATAAGAGGACTCAATTATCATCAATGAGTTAGAGTAGTACTTAATCATGCTAAGATACATTGACTTCCTACATTTTAGTTAAAGTGTCTTCGAACTAGTTTATTTTATTGTTATTAATTGAAATTAATATTTTGTTATTTTTTATTAACTTTTCTTAAAATGTTCAATTAGACTTAGTTGAGTCTCCATTAACTTTTCAAAAGCGCTAGTTTGATTTCTTTAGAAAGTTCAATTGATCTGCCCTTTCTATGCAAGACATGATAAAAAAAAAAGGTGAAACCAATTTGTCTGAAATAAAAACCACCATCCACGTTCTACAACAACAACCCAATGGTGTAAAACTTGGTTCAAAACATCCCCAATGGACAATGATCGGCAGTTTGTTACTCTTTTTCGGCTTCACTTCCAGACACAGATAATTGTATATGCGTGGGGGCAGTTGCCTCCTTGTACAATTGTACACTCCAGTCTCCATGCATCATTCCCCTCCGTGGCCCATATCCAGCGAAACCCACTCAGGTTTGCGGCAGAAACGAAACCAACAGCCGAATCCTTGTTACTCTTTTAATGCAGTAACTGTCTTTTGCACATATATAGATGAAGGAGCAATGCTAGGGGCACTCGCCTCCTGCACTCTCCGGCCAACACTTTCCCTTTTATTGGGCCACGTTGTTTTGGTTTTTTGGAGAGGTTGCACCTGAAAGCCTTAAAGAAGCTTACATGGCCCAATGAAAGGGGAAGTGTCGGCCGGAGAGTGCAGAAAGCGAGTGCCCCTAGCACTGCTCATAGATGAAGACCTGCAAAAAAATAACCTGCACCCTTAAAGGTTACTTACTTCTGTCCATTTTATTTTTTTTTATTTAAAAAATTAATTTTTGAGTTTTTAAATAAGAATATATATTTTTTAATTTTTTATTTAAAAATGTTAATTTTTAATTTTTATTTAAAAACTAATTAAATGATAATATTAATATGATAAATAAATTTTTTATTAAAATATTAAAAATTAATATTTTTAAATAAAAAATTAATATCATTAAATAAAAAATATATAATTAATATCCTCAGTTATACTTTCTTCTTTTTTTTTTCTACCTTTCACCCATATTCCCATTCCGTAAAATTTTGCCTGTGGTTTTTTTTTTTTGAACAGATTACAATTTTGGGGTGGGAGGAATCGAACTCCAATTTTTGGGTTGGGAATGCACTTTATAAGTCGATTTATGGTTGTTGGGCCATAAGGCTGAAGTGCTTTTTTTTTTTTTTGCCTGTGATTGGTCCTTTTGGTATTGGACATGGCTCGTTGGATTCAGACATTATATAAGACAACTGACTAAATTAAAAGCACAGACTTTTAGGTCTGGTGAATCGTGAGCCGATCATGAAATTTTCCCATAAAACAAACGAGTTTTAACTGGGGGAATCGAATCTTGTCTGGTTTGGCATCGTCAAAATTAAAAACGAAGTTACTGCGAAAAAGGATAGAGAAATTAAGTTGTGCATGTCCTACCCATGGCAGCTGCTTTTGGGTGTCCGGTTTCACCCACAGAATTTATTTTGGACGTTATGCCGTGTAAAGTTGCATTCTTTTGAAGAAAGTTGTTGCTCCCAACAACCGTTACCAGTCTATTTCAAGTGAATCCTGCACGTGGAAATTGTGAATTTACAATTTATTGATATTAAATATAATAAAATTTTTTATATTTAACTCATATATTTTTTTATTATATACTTTATATAAAATTTTTTTATTATAAATATCAGATTCCATCAAATGATTTAATATGTACTCTTACATGAAAGCTAGTATCAATTTCAAATCTTAACAAAATGAGATAAGAACCAGTTTTCCCAAAACAAAACTTGGATTAGGATACAATGTAATGAAACATTTCATGCCACATGGGTTCAACATCTCAGCCATCTATGGCTAGGTTAGGCTAGTACCCCAATGAGCCTAATTTACATGGGAATTGGGCAAGAAGCCCACTAGAAAGCTTAGGTCATTAAGAATCTACAAGGCCTAAGTTTAGAATACAAGAGCTGGGAAGGGTCCTTTTCTTCTTCTTCTATATATTTTTTTCCCTTCGTTTTTTGGCAGAGCTTATTTCTAACATGTAGGGCAAAGCATGGGTACAAATATACTCCGTATTTATAATTATAAGTATTTAATTTGTTCAGGTAACTATTATATATAAACTAAGAAAAAAATTGGATATGCAACATGTACCAAAAGAGAGTATACTTATAAGTATTAACTTAAATATCAAGTATAGTAATTAAAAATTGTTTATTCTATCAGTTGACTTGATGTATTTAACCAGTTTGTTACTTATATATTTGAGATTTTTATTGTAAAAAATTGAATTAATATATAAAGTTAGAATCTATTTATATATAATTTATATATATTACTTATACAAAATATTAATTATTAATCCTTTTAGTATGATTGATTAAGATTTATCATGACTGATTAAATAAAAAATAATTATTGTTTCCTTTATTCAACTTTAATAGACCTAATTTCTTATTTGTAATTTTTAATTTTAGTTATCCATTTTTTATTTTTAGGATGGTATTTAATATATTTACTATTTTACCCACATTTTAAAAGATAATTGCAACATATATTAAATAAGAAGTCTTACTCTCTCCATCATAAAATGATAAACATTTTTTTATTTTATTTTCGTATTAACAATTTGGGGAAATTTTCTATTTTTATCTATTTTATCCTTAAAAAAATAACTAAATAATATTTTAATAAGAGGATAGACAATTAAAGTTAAGAGATAATATAAGGTTAAGCTAGAAAAAAATAGTTGTTTCCCTTAAAATAATAAAAAAAAAGACTCTTATTCTAGGGTAAATTTAAAAAATAAATCTATTATTCTATGACAATGAGAGTATTTAAGTGCTATTTAATTAAAGATAAATAATAAATTTTATTAATAAATTATTACATATCAATTTCATTAGACAAAAAATTAAATATATTAATAAAAATGTAGGAGGAGAATTAAAAAAATAAAATAAAAATTCATACAGTAAATCTCAAGTACTAAAAAAAAGGATCAAAACTGTAATAGTAATAAAATAATCACAAAATCTAGGGAATTAAATAGTAAGAAAGAAAATCATCACAAAATTCACTTGACTTTTTTGACCAAATCAAATCACCAAAACAGACCAGGTAAGAAGAAAAGTCAAGTTGGGCATTTAATGGTCAGACTTCAAGCCCAGCCCACTGTTTTTGTCCATAGAAATTAGAAAACGGAGGTCAAATTACGGTTTTGGAGTCCGCGAGAGAAGTCCTTCCGATTCCGTACATGATTGGTTGAATTTCCAACTGTTTTTTTTTCATTATTTATATTTCATAAGTTAAAATTTATTTTAAAAAATTTTAAACAGTAAATTTTATAAAATTTTAAAATTTTATTTCTTAAAAATTTTTTTACTCATTTTTTATTTTTTTAAAAATAATTTTTAATTTTTTAATAAAAATTTAAATTTATAAAATATAAATAATATTAAAAAAATTAAAGCGTTTGACCAATCATGTTCTAAATAAAATGCGGAGGAAGTTGGTTCACGAAATAGAGGTGGGTGAGACCTGAGAGGCCTGAGCGGCCTACAAAAGGTCAACAATGCCATCGTGTTTTACAGCCCATGACCATTTCAACACTTTTAATTTACCTCAAATAATTTATTTATAAAATTATTTGAATTGCATGTCTCTCTCCCCTTTATGGTTTTCTTTCTAATTATAAAGATGACACTCCCACTAAAGTTACTAATAATTATTAGATAAAAAAACATTTTATAATTTAATATAATTTATAAAATAAAATAATAGATTCAATTTATTATAATGTCAATACATGTATGTTAATAACTGTTTATAAGAGAACAGGAGAAAAGAGATGAAAATATTTATTTTCTTCATTTAGTAATTAGTAATGGTTTGCAACTTGAACATAGTTTTGTTCCTCAAATGAATAACAATCCTCATTAGAAGGGAAAACAATGAATGAGAGAGTAAATTTTTTGAAATATCTAATGATAATGGGTTATATTAGAGGGATCACTCTTCTTTTGCTAACATTTTCTTAGTTGTCAACAATTTAATGAGTTTAATGATAATTTTTTTAATAAAAATAAGATTTTTTTTAATAAAATAATAAATTTTGAATTTCAATTATATGATATAATGTGAAATAAATTAATAGATAAAAAA